TTAATATTTCTATTTAATACTGACTTTTGTACTTTATATAACCTTCTTCCTTTTTATCTTCATTCCACCTTTTTTTTTTGCCATTTTTCAGTTTCTTTCCTCTTAATAAATGATTTTCCTTCCCCTTTCCCTAAAGGAATTGTAATTGTTATTGCCTCCTCTAAAGCCCTTTTTGCTAATTTGTCTGCCTTTTCCTTTCCTTTTACCCCTTCATGTGCTGGAACCCAACAAAACCAAATATCAATGCCACTCCTGTATAATCTAAATAAACTGTGCTGAATTTCTAATACTAAATCTTTCTTATTATTTCCTTCTCCCTGAATACTTTCTAAAACTGCTTTGGAATCCATGCAGACCACCAACCTGTCTAGTCTGACCTCCTCCACCCATTGGAAACTCAGTATAACTGCCACCATCTCTGCTGTGAAAACAGATAGTTGATCTGAAATTCTTTTAGAAATGTTTATTTGAACTCTGGTACATATATTTCTATTCCCACACACCCTTTTAAATTATTAGAACCACCAGAATATATTTTAAGGTAATTATAATATTTCTTCCTCCTCCTCTTCTTCTGCCTTCCTTTCCCCTTCAGTGATGGTGAACCTTGCTGCCCCTGGTGGCGGCTTATGGAAACGCAGAATAACCTGCAGGAAGGAAAGTGGGTCATTTTTCCTGCTGATGAGTTTTGCAAAGTTAAAAGTTTTTTCCTCGTTTTGTTGATTTGAAAAAGAAAAGAGAAGCAAAGAAGAAATGTTTAGCAGATGTAGAATAATGGAGAAGAAAGTTCAGTTTTCAGTTGATAAATCAGAGGTGAGGTTTATTACCAGGAAAAGAAGTGAATATGAGTTAGAATCAAACTCTATAATCAGTAAAATGCTTTGAAGTTAGATGAATGTGGCCTGATGACTGAATAAAGATCCAGAAAGTTAAAGATAAAAAGCTGCAAACAGAGAGGAGTTCATCCTGGAGTTTGGATCAGCTCCTCTAGACCTAAAATCCACTCAGCCTGATATTATCCAGCTGCTTTATAACAGGAAGTGGCAGAAATATTCAAGGAAGTGAGAATAACTGTTGGTCACAGAGTCAGCAACTAAAACCCAGCTGGGAGAAGGAGAGGCAGACCGTTTAGATCGGAGGAGGAGGAGGAGGAGGAGGAGACCAGCTGCTCCTCTCTGCTTCTGTTGGTAAAATGATTTGTGATGGTCGGTGATGTTTACTGATGGAGGACCAATGAACAGACTTTGCTTATAGATTACAGCTTTATTGTTCAGCATATGGATGGTTGCTATGGATACCAGCATTAATGAAAAGAAAAGGGTAGACAAAAATAAAAAAAAAACAGTAAAGACAACAACTAAAATTTAACCAACATAGAAATAAATATATTCTACTGATTATTAGAAATTAAAAACATAATATCACAAAAATTAATTGAAGTTTGGCAGAAAAATGGGAATAAAAAAGGAAATCATGGGGGGGGGGGGGGGGTGCAACATTATAAACATGTAATCCAGATTAAAGTAAAGATGTTTCTCTCTGACTCCTCACCGCCAGGGGGCGCTGAAGCCCCGCCCAGCTGCCTGCAGATGAACCGGAAGCTGTTGGTTCTGTGGTCCAGTCCGTCATGGCGCAGATCCTCCTCCGTCCTTCCAGGTGGGTGAGCCGGTAGAGTTCTGCTGGAGTCCCGCTTCGGTTCTGCTTCTTCGGTTTCTCACCTTCTGGGTTTGTCTCTGCAGCCTCTTCCGGTGCCGCTTCCAGCCTCCGGTCCTCCCAGAGGTCCGCTCCTCCTTCCTCCACGGTACCGGAGCTCAGCTGGGCTCCAACCGGACCTCGGTGGTCCGCTGCGGGCGGCAGAAGTATGAGCGGCAGTACCCGGTGCTCCTGGTTCAGCCCGACGGCTCCACGGTCAGCATCCGGTACCCGGAGCCCCGAAGGATCCTGCTGGTGAGTGAGGAGGAGGAGGAGGAGGAGGTGGTGGGCAGGGGTGGAGCTAGATGGGGGGCCAGGGGGGGCCATGGCCACCCATAGCCAATCATTGCCCCCCCTGTGGCCCCCCCTACCATTTTTCCTCTCTAATGCAGACGGTGTATGAAGGACCAACTCTGCCATATTTAAAAATAAATACAGAAATAAATAAATGCTCAATAAATGTATAAGCATACAATTAATTGCCAACAGAAAAGTGAGACATAAATGTATATAACTCTTAATTAGCTTCTTTATTTATNAGCTCACAGCATGTTCATTTACATGTTAAAGCCTCCCCTAGAATTCCATGGGGGGAGGCATGGGGAAATTTCTGACAATTTACGGGAGTTTTCGGCGAAGCCTGCAAATTGTCGTAAACTGCCGCTAACCTGAAGTTCCATGACAATCTACAGTGCCGCATATTGACGAAAATCCCACTTTCCATGCAGTGACCCCTACCCCACATTCTGACTTTTTACAGATCAAAGGCTGCTCTACATCGGAGGACTTTTTACAGATCAAAGGCTGCTCTACATCGGAGGAGCTGCACGCCCTAAAGTCCCGTCGGGGGGATTTAATACACATTTTACATTTTTTATTTAACACACATAAGCTATGAAGTGTTGAAAGACTTTGTCCCGAGTGATCTTTCTTCAGGGACAAGAACCGGAGAGATAGAGCATCAGGGTGCAGACACAGAGCCTATCTTTAACAGTAGGCTACAGGGATTTAGTTTGGTCTAAAATACTTTTGGAAAACAATTTAAAATGCAAAATATTCAAGAAACTTCTGAGTTCAGGCAGACATGCATGGTAAATGCATAAAACCGGAAATTGTATTTTTATTTGTGTTTCATGTCTGTAAATTTTTTTCCAGGAAATTTAGCATGGGACAGGAATCACTGTTAGAAACAACATTTTAAATAACTAATTATTTACAAAACTATGTTACAAATAAGTCGTAACTCCAAAATGTCTTCCCTATTTGTCCCTGTTGTCTTCCACATGTGGCCAGCATGATTTCCCAGTTCACTGATGGCATCAATTCCTGTGGGCTGCTCTAGGACTTGATACGCCTCAATTCGCTGCAGTTTGAGCCTTTATTTGTCGACAACGGCAAGAAACTAAGCAATGAGGTGATGCTCAGGCTCTTTGAGCAGGTGAGGAATGATGCTGGCCACATCGACTTTGACAAGGAGGAGAAGACGCTCTACCTGTTTCAGGACTGGCTGGTGGCCATTCAAGGTGTGTGCAGTCTTTTTTTAAGTATCAATCAGAAAATAAGTTGTTATGATTGATACTCTGTCAAACCATCTGTTGGCAGTCCACATTATTCTGCTGAACTGCAAGTCTTTTTTTGTGCATTGATTTTTGAAAAAATGTCTCATGGATTTTTGAGGTACAGACTGACAATCGTACTGTACATCTTCAATAATTTGTGCAGCTTAAAAATAAAATCGCAAAAAATAATTGACTGTGAATGTAATTCATTAAAATTATGTTTGCAGAGGGAAACGTGGACATCACATTTGCCGACCTCCTGGGGTTTGTGGCGGGAGCTGACACTCTCCCTCCCCTTGGCTTTCTTGTCCCTTGTACAATCGAATATTTTGACCAGGAGCCAGGTGAGAGGCACCTTCCAGTACACCTCCACTTGCAGCCTTACCCTTACCCTACCAAGGGATATGGAGGACGAGGAGGACTTCAAAAATATGATGTACGAGGCAATCATAGGATCACTGGGGTTTGGCAAAGTGTAGCCCCAGTCCCCCACCCCACAGAGGAAGGACACCAGGTCTCTGGACCCTCAACAAAACCAATCATTGCCCCAGTCCCCCACCCCACAGACCCTCATGACCCCTGCCCCAGTCCCCTACCCCACAGAGGAAGGACACCAGGTCTCTGGACCCTCAACAAACCTATGAGTACCCTAGTTACCCACTCCACCCACCCATTGAGGAAGAACTCTTGGGATCTAGTGACCCTCACGGCCCCTGGACCCCACCCCCAACTATGAGTAAGGACTCGCCCCCATTGTAAATAGTTCTTGACATTTTTTTTCAGTGTTTTATTATCATTACACTGTCACAAGTAAAGTATACGAAATTAACTCTGAATTTACCCCTCCCCTTGGGTAGCAGTGGTCTGCTATTGTGTGGTGCGTGGGGAGCAGTGCTTTGACATTGCTTCCTCACCCCACCCACTCATTGAGGAAAGACTCTAGGGTGACCAATGACCCTCACAAGCCCTGCAACCCACCCTCCTGTTAATAAGCTATTTAAGGAAAATAAAAACTGCATTCAAACTGGATCTGTCCTCCGTTCCCTGGGTTCTGATTCACTAGCTCCCTCTAATTGTTAAAGGACCTATTGTTGCACTTAGGTACCAACGTGGTGCCGACATTTTATGCTGTTTATTTCTGACCTTTGAAACTTTAACTCTGCCTAGTAGTTATCAAACCTCAGTTTGGTTCAGTTTGATGTACAAAAAGAAAGACAGGTGTGACAGAGAGCCTTTGTTTCATGTGTGTCCGATTGACATAGCTGTGAGGAAGATTTGAGCAGTGTCACTTTGTCATGTCACTGTTGTTTAAAACACTATTTTTTTTAAATCAAAATGGATACAAAACATGGATAAATAAAAAAAAAAGAAAACAATATTTGTGAGATTGCAATTCCATGCTGCAATAAATTACTTTTTTTAATAAGTTGTGGATTGATTGGTATTTGTTAAAGAGGATTTAGAAACTTTCTAAGAAATTTGATTAAATAGAGTTAAACTGTTATCTGGAGTCCCTTTTAAAAATGGGACCAAACATTATGGACTGGACCT